ATGCTCTCCCTGAGGCTAGAGCGCAGCCCTGCACAATGCTGCCTGGGATAGCAGCAATCACGTTCTAAGTTAACCCTTGATGGGATCTGGCACAGATGTTTGATAAAGTGCTCTAACAGAAAGCAATTGATCTAATACCTCATCCATCAAGGGTGAACTTAGAGTGGGACCTGACATTTTTAAAGTGCTTTATGTGCCATGAACTTCTGTTCTATTATGGCTGTAAAGCTCTTTCTGCATGCTTAAAGCACATTACGCATAACATCTGGCCCTAGAACTTTCTGCCTGAGTTCTTGGATTAAATACAGAGAAAGCTGGGGTCACTGAAAATCATCATCGGGGAGCTGTTCAGTTTCACACAGCTAGAGTTTAGGGCTGTGTGAAATTTCTATGAGTGTTTAGTTTCAAAGCTGTTTCGATGTGTTTCAAGCTTGAAACAGTGAAATCTAAATGAAACAAAAAGCTTCAAAACAGCTTTGAAATGAAATGAGGGCACTCGAAATGTTTCAGCAGTTTTGAAACATTTTGAGTTTCAAAGCTGGGCTTGCTGCAGCTAAATAGAAACTAAGGAGAAGGAGGGGAAAGAGGGGGAAGGACTGTTCTCTGATATTGACATCTAGCCCCCTGTTCGATTCCCCAGCTCGCTAATCATTTCCCCAGCTCTTTCCAGGGGGCGCAGGCCCCTGATCTGCATGCAGGGTTTCAGCAGGCTGCCGCTGAAACTGCAGCAGCAGCCTGACGAAACCCGGCCTGCACCCCCGGGAAGAGCTGGGGAAGTGATCAGAGACCTGGGGGACACTATTAGAGAGCTGGGGAATCGAACCAGAAGCTGGGGGAATGTTTAGGTTGGATTCCCCAACTCCCTAATCTTTCCCTTGCTCTCTGATCACTTCCCCCAGCTCCTCCCGGATGACGCAGGTTCCTGGATCTGCACGTGGGATGACAGCAGGCTGCCATTGCCAGCTGAGACCGGTGCTGGGCACAGCCTGTGCCAAGCACTGAGAAGTCTGGTGCTGCCAGTGGCCCCAGCCGGCAGTGGCAGCCAGCTGTCATTCTGCATGCAGATCTGGGGGTCCGCAACGTGCACAATCTGTCAGAGTTTGGGAACCGCTGCCCTACAGCATAGCAGTGCAGCCCCACCCACAATGGCTGTGCTTCTACAAGGTAAGGGTTTTCCATGATAGCAGCCTATTAAATATTGACTGAAAGTTTTAACATCAGTGTCTATAGGACAGGTCAGAACACTTTCAATAAAATGCTATTTTGTTGAACTGTGCTGTTTTGAAGCCAGAACATTTCAGGAAGACTTATCTGTTTTGATGACATTTTTGTCAGAAAGGATGTTTGACCTGGATGGAGCTCCTTGGTCAGAGACAGAGACAGAGAGAGAGATCCAGAAAAGAAAAGCTGAGACTCTTGGTCTTAAAGTGGCTGTTTCAACACAATTCTATTTTGTTAAAACATTAAAAGATTTTGGTTTTGTTCCAATTCAGAATGAAAACAAATTCCAAAACCTTGAAAGCTGCCATGAAACACAGTCCTTTGGACAGATCTACTTACTAGGGGGAAAAAAAGCACAAAACCTTATTTCTAAAATACCCAATTTTTCCTAGTAAAAGGGTACTCCATAACAGAGACTTAAGGACTAATCCTGAGGGATGCAAGGCACCCTTCTTTCCTATTGAAAGAAATACTCTGTGTCGGTCCTTTGGCTTCCCAGGGAAGTTTTGTAAGGTCTTCATTACATATCGTTTCCTTTTGGAAGAGAATGTTGTGTTGAAGGCTCCAAAAGTAATTGCTTGAGCTGGGGATATGCAGATTGAGTTGTTATTTTGGCTACAACCTAATGATCTTATAGAATAGTTGAAAAAAAATATCCTGTGTTCACATGCTGGCAACATTTTTTCTGGAGACAAGATTAATGTTTGCTTTGTTTGCTGTATCCTTTTAACTGCTGCTTTCTTTCTTCTAACTGTAAATAAATCTCCCTATTACTTAAACAAACTGACTGATAGAAACCAAACCTAAAAAAGACAGATCAACAATAATACTCTGCTCTTAAAATAGATGGCTAACAATTAAAAAGAACTCTTAGTTTCTGTAAAAATCCCTCACCACTGTTCACTATTCACGCATGAACATCACTGTTTATAACTGCTATGCCAGAGGAATATAGCCAAAAATGTACGAGTACATAAATATTTCATGGCATTTTAGCTAAATACTTATTATTTATTACCCTAGTGTTAGCAGGGCCAACTGAGATCTGGGTCCCATTTTACTAGGTGCTGTACACATACAACTAGGAGATAATTTCTAACTGGATAGCCCAAATCAAAATTGAAAAGGCAGAGATAGGTTAAGACAGCGGTTCCAAACCTTTCTAGACTCAAGGTGCCCCTTGTTCGACACCAGGCACTTGGAAAATGCCAGCTCTTAGCTTTCATTTGTTTGACTTCCAAAAAAAAATTAAAAAATGGGGAAGTTCTTCTGTTGCAAAGAACTCAAGACCACTGCGGGTCTGAATGTTTCTGGCACTATAGATTCTTGTTTGAAATCTCTGAAGTTATCTTATGAATCATATTTGTACATCTAAAACTGCTAATATTAAGTGGCACCTCACATCACTGTTGAAAAATCTCTCATGGGATCCCAGAGTGCCACAACACCATGGTTGTGAATCACTGGGGCAGGAGAGACTAGAATGAGTGACCTTATCAGCAGCTGAATTGAGAGTCAGACCTAAATCCCATGAATCTCAACCGAGTCCTTATTCAGGGATCCTGCTGCCACTCAATCTTTATTTTTTACATCTGCCGACACTTTGTTGTACAATTGTTATACTGGGATAATTAGCTCCTGCTCATTGTACAATTCATAAGATACTGAGATGATAAGTAAAAAGAATGGTTAATGGTGCAGAATTTCTGGGGAAGAGGAAGGCAGCATGGTGCAAAAACAATTTCACAAGTGGATGCTAAACTCAGGTGTAGAGAACACCCTCTTGGATTTTTGTTTTTCAGGCTTACCTGCATTCTTCCATGTAGAAGGCATGGTTATCTTCTGCTTTAATCCTGTCCCTCCAGAAGAAAATATGAGGATAAATTCATCTAACCTGTAGCGGTGGGACAAATTTGTCATTTAAAGACATTTTTCCCAAATGTGTAATAGTATTTAAATTACAGTTTTAATGGGAAAATGGGTTTCTTTTGAATTTTTCAGGCTTTTCAATGACTAGACAGAGAGCTCCTGGAGCTCTCTGTCTTGTAGCTTTTATAAGTTGTAGCTTTTTTATTATGAGGTTGAACAGTTTTATCCTCAAATCTGCCCCATTTCTTCTTGGCACACTCTCCTCTCTTTGAAGGCTATCTACAGCTTTGTGGAATCTGA